GTGCCACTCATTTTTTTGTTTTGTTTTCATTCCTTTTGGTCGAACCTCTTTTATCCTAAGGGTAGAAAAAAAACGGGTACTCCGGGAAAAATGAAAAAAAAAATCTTAGCGTGTGCGAGTAATGACAACAATAAAAGTTGTTGACGAAGGCGTGTTGCGACAAAATCCAGCCAGCGTTCGGTGCTTACGTAGTCCTGTTTTTTAGGGTGCTGGGGGCGCATTACGACGCTCGAGGGCATAATTTGGTAGCCTGTGGTGGTCTGAGTTAGCTAGGAGATTTGGAAAATGTGTGTTTTGGGCACACCTCTTGGCACCCCCCCTCCCCACCATTCAACCGTATACACACACGCGCGTACACCCTGTTGTGTGGGTGGGTGGGGGATTTTGGTTTTCGAATTGCATATAATGTAGCCAGGCAGTGGCATAAATCTGTGCTGCGAGTGGGCAGAATCCTGAAATTGCCTGTCCGTGGAAACATTTGAAACTGTGGGACGGGGCAGTTCATGATACATAATTATGCATCTCATGCATTTACGAGCTTGTGTGCTGAACATCACATCAAAGCAAAGCATGTCAAGTTGAAGTGCCTTTTCTGTCTACTTTGGCCAATGGGAAGTTCACAGTAACCTCAAAATACACAGTTTGGGTGTCCAAACAACAATAAAAGTGTGTGGGTGTGGTTGGGTGGGGAATTATGAAATGGCTCATACCCCCTGTTCAAAAAGTGGTGGGTTATGCCCCACCCCGTCCCCCCCCTCCCCTGAGAGTTACCCCAGGGACTGCACGGAGGTTGCCAGGAGCTAGTGGTACGAGTCAATTTGGTGCGTGAATGGTGGGATGACCGCTCTGGGGTGTTGGCTGTTGGCTGTTGTGATGTTTACGCTGGAAGGTGGAGGGAAGAGGCTCGAAACTGGGCGAAGAACCGAGTGAAATGAAACGAAATGCGATCGCATTGCTATTGAAACCGCTGCGAGTGGCTCAACTTCTGAGACTTCGTCATCAGGTTTTCTTCCATGCTTCTAATCATGCACGAACGACCTTCAGTCATTACAGAGACCAAAAAGTCTTTCAGCACTGAATTACTAGAATCGAAAATATGAATAAACATACATTAGGCGTAGCTTCAGGCAATTAGGCAACACCTGTAGTGCTGAAGACTATTGACCTGCGGGTGCGTGCAGTCAACAAGCAACCCATAGCCTGCCGGACACAATTGTCTTCGCCCGGCTTGGCAAGTCAGCTCCGTTCCACAGTCAGAACTTCCTGGCCTTACTTTCTGCTTTAATCGATCCATACTCGGTGGATTTTTTTCGACTACAGGTTCGAAGTTTCCCCCTTCTTTCAAAGCCAAGGTCATTGTGGCTTCCAATTCTGTTGAATTATTCATTGACTAGTGATTTGTGACTAGCATTGACCGAAGAAAAGCCTAACGACAAGGCCTGGGGTAAGTCAACAACGTTCACGGTCCATCAATCGTATTGCATGCAAGGGCATAAAAGGAAGAAACCGGCGAAGCGTCGACATGCGGCCAAACAGCGAGTGATCGAATTGGGTAAAAGTGAGTGGGGTAAAACTGAATGAAGGTAATAGTGAGTGAGTGGGGTAACAGTGAGTGGTGAAAATAATATCTTGTGGGGAAAAAAGTTACTTCCTCATTTTTCGACATATTACTTCAAGGACCAAAGACAGCAAAGATGTTTTATAGATTTTTTATAGATTACCCATATGATTTTTAAAGTCGACTTTGCCTTAAGATGTATATCTTCAGTCCATACAGATTATACAGTCCATACAGATTTTGCAGAACAAAACAAGCCACACAAAACAAATTTAATGTACGTAAATTACGACATTAAAAGTAATTTCAGAACGTCATGTTGCGTCTATTTAAAAAAATGAACTTTCTGCACCTCAATGTTAAACGTCTGTATAAAAATCGACATTTTTTGTGTTGCCTAACAACTTCCTAAAAGCAATCATTGACCGAAAGCATACGGATGTTAATCGGGGGGGGGGCTAATTTGCCTTTCACCGAATACTCCAACAAAAAGTGTTTACTTCTTAGGAGACCTTGTAAAACAGTTTAAGTTTTTCAGATAGGACTTTAACCCATGAATTAATGTTTATCAATGCAGATGTCTCACCAAGTTACCTTAAAATCCAGTTCTCGACGAGATCAAAACTTGGTGCAAGAAACGCTTGTTACAAAACGCACATGGGCCTCGAGCTGGACCAAGAGAGGGCGCTATTTTCTTAGCAACAGCGGCTCCATTGGTCGGAAATGAACTTCGCTGGTTCACGAACAACTGGAAAATGCACGTGTCACGATCGCATTGCTAACAACAAATGAAATGCTTCCTATAGTGGTTCTTTTTAACAACCGATGAGGGGCTGCTTCTGCTCCAGGCGGATAAGGGTTCCATCAGCACTTCTCTTTGGAGAAAGGACTAACAATTCTGGTTAGAATCGGACAATACTCGCCCGACAGTAGTGATCTGGAACCGAGAAATTTGCCACGCGCGGTCATCTTGGGGCTTGGTTGTCTCGGCCAGCTCAGAGTGTTGAACATAAGTCTTATTTTCTCAGGTGGTCTAATTAATGTTAAACACGTTCATGACTTTTTGCGAAGAGTTTTCACAAGTGCAGTCCAGCACAGAAATGTCACTCATTTTCTTTCATTCATTCAAGTAATTTGACATTCCTAATTGATTTGGGTAATGAGCACTCGATGACATCGCCTCTGGACATATTTTTCTGGACTTTTGGAAATGTTTTCCCTCCATTCCATTCCCCCTTTTCTCATTTCCGTTCGCCTTGCACCCTTGTTGTTGTTTCATTTTAGCGTGCACGAACGTGCACTCCGTAGGCTGGGGTCGTCTTTCCCCAGTCCAAGTACAGCGGGCAGCGGGCACGGCGCCGAATCCAGGGGAAGTCAAGCGAAACAGACGGCCGGTCGTGGCAACGCAAGTCCGCTGTATCCAACTGTACCCCTCGCACGTGCGCCTCCTGCGCCCTGGGGCCCGAAAAAAAAAAGACGGGACTGTTGTTGGGAGCAACACCATGGAACAAGGCAGAAAAACAACATGAATTGGAAGATTTGCCGTGGACATGATCAATGGAGAATGCTCCCATCAGAGCGGGCGCCGGAATGAAGACCCCGCTGCGTGAACTTGAAAGTGCGTCTGGCATATTGAAGCTATTACTGATTGCACCGACTCGACTGTGCCCCAAACCACCAACCGACATTAGCTCTGCCCTTCGTGGTACGAGCATATTTGGATTTTAGAATAAAATGATGGATTGCATGAACTGCTATAATTGTGAAAACAGGTCAACCGCGAAGATCTGACGACTTGCCAACACTGTTACTATTTTACTACACAAAAAATAAGAATCGACTGCATTAATGCGCGATCAATCATGAATATGCAACGAGAAACTGAACGAATCATTTCCGCCATAACATGGTTCAGGCGCCGTAAGCTATATGCTCAACGTGGCATGCCGCGTGTGTGTGTAAGATACCTATACGGAGCATTTTGCATGATGTAATCGGTTAGCTCAATAAACGTTGATTATCGTGACATGAAGTACTCGACACATCCAGAGCACAACCCTTTAACAGGTGGGTTTGAAATCAGGGAAGCCGGTGACATTTATATATTTCCTGTACGTTGCACCTTTGAAAGGGGGGGGGGAGATGGAGCGGGTTAGCGTAGCGGTTCCTTCCACGCTTTGCATCAATGAGGCCCTTCTTGGCCCACGCCTTGAGTGCATTTGGCGTCCAGTCCATACTCGCTCTCGCAGGTTTTCTGTGGGTACTCCGGTTTCCTCCTGCCTCTAAAACTGAACCTTCTTCTGACACTCCGTAATGTGATGCTGATCCATAAAGGTTATGAATAATCGTATAGTTACTGGCGCAAAGAGCCTGAGTAGCTGAAAGCGCCATTTAAAACTACCACCACCACCACCATTTTTCCAACAGGCTCTGCACACGAGTCATAATCGATGAGGGCATTGTCAAACTCTCGACCGTATGCTCACACTTTCCCGACAGTCTGTATGGTATTATTTCACCCGAGTAAACCGTAATTGCGCTAATGTTGCGCACCGACTGCTGAGCCTTTTCCACGGACTTTTTTTTTATCGCAATGTGGGCGTAGATCTCAAACATTTGCGTTGCCATAGTTTGACAGTTCATCCAAAAACTAGAGAGGGATATTTCTCGATATCTGTTCCAAAGTAGCCATGCACACTTGACATAAGAAGTCAATATCGTACAGACGTTTGAAGAGACGGCCCTATCTTACTTTGGACTTCAGGGGAAAATCACCAGTGTTTCTGTGGTTCGAGGAATCTTAAATGGCACAATTCTGCAAAATCCAAAATTTCCTTTCTATCGACTGAAAACGACTCTGGTTATTTGGGCAGAAGTACTGAAGACGACCGAACACAATTTTGTCTGACGGAACAATGATCCATAAAAAAAGGGCGTGGAGTTACATGCTAGACCCTTGTGAGATGTATCCTGATCAACGCGACTTCATCAGAGCTTGTTGATTGAAAAAAATTAACTCTGCCCCGTACTAAAACACTATGGCATGTATGTCATGTTCAGTATAAGGTTAATTCAATTTCCGTAAAACGATATTCACAATATAATACAAGTCAGAAAAAAATGGCAATTGGTGAGCTAGCTTCCGTTCACTGAGTTTTAGCCGTTACAGATTAAAAAAAAGGAAAGACCATGACGTAAAACAATCAGTACGCGGAGAGGGCGGATATTTATCCCCTGACGAATCAGCCTAGCCTCGAACACCCCCTCCCACATGCACACAGATCGAATGCACCCGGTTCATCCGCGCAATCAGCGATCCCAGCGCGAGCGAGCTCCTCGTTCGGCCGTCTGCGTTGGCGAGCTCGGCCGCCGGCCGCTGGCAGTTGATCAAAATTCATACAGACATATGAGCGAAGATTAGCTTTGTTAATCCGCCATGCGCTAATAGCGATGAATAAAAGTCATATTAGCACATACAATGAGCGCACAATGTGCGGACTTGTGGCACTGGGCCCACAACAATGGGCTCCCGAACGGCAGGACCCCGTCGTATTTTTCTTCCCCCTGAAAATGGACAACGCCGAAGGTTTTTTCTCCTCATGCATTATTAACGCCCTGTGCAACATCAACGCCAGGGACAAGTCTCTTGCCTTTCCTTGCATCACCGAATTCATTTGTTGCCTTTTCATTCCACCCACAAGCTCGGATTTTTCGGGGCCCTCAACTTAATGTGGACGGGGGACTAGTCGCAATCGCGCGCCGTGCGGCCAAACTAAGGACGCCATTGGCTGAAGGAGTGAGCGTGGGGCGGGAACATTATTCGGCAGTGATTGGAGCGCAGACCACGACTATGACGACACTGCTATTTCAATAATTCGCATAGAATTTCGAGAAGCCTAAAAAAGACTGCAAAGAAACCTTGACGGGGGAATAGTTGAGAGTTTGGATATTCTCAGCTGTGGAGAAAGTTCTTTCGCTTGCATATAAATCACCTGTTTTTGTACAGCATCCATCTATTTCTCCGGACTAAAGAAATTTAAGAAACTATTCAGTAAGTTTTTTAAAAAATGGAAAAGATTTAATAATCCTTTGGACTTTTTTCTAAAGCGTTAACAAGATCTTGATTTGGGGCCATTTTAAGTCTGTTAGTTCCGTTGAAAGGACAATCGTAGGACTTAGTTTCAACCTATTTGATTTCCAAATTTGACTTTCGCTACTGTTGATAATTACTTCATCAACGCCATGGCATTACCGCATTTGAGCAGCGACGCCATCGACGTGTGCCTCTCTCCCGCTTCCCTCGATGACGATTCTTGTTCCAGCGACGAGTCTTGCGATGATTTACTGGATTCCACCGTACCCCAAGACGGCAGCCAGCCCTCGACCCCCTCGTCAGGACCCAACGGTTCACAGGCCGGTGGGGTCCGGACGAGACGGAGGGGTAGCGGAAAGGGGAGCCCTGAGCACTCGGGGAAGAAGCACCACCGGCCCCCGGCACAGCAGAAGGAGAAGGAGCCTCACCTGGTGCAGCGGCGCAACGCCAGGGAGCGGCGCCGGGTTCAGCTGGTCAACGACGGCTTCGTGCGGCTCCGTCGGAAGATCCCGACCGAGCCGAGGAACAAGAAACTCTCCAAGGTGAAAACACTGCGCTCGGCCATCAACTACATCCTACATCTGCAGGAGACGCTGAATGAGGCGGCGAATCGACAGACAAGGATGGAGGAGATGGAAACGGTTGGGATGACGGTTGCTATGGCACACCAGGCGCAGCCACTCTACAACGATTGGCAACAGTACGACGTTCAAAACATGGTAAGAGTTTATCCAATTAGCAATCATATTGCACAAATCACGTTCATGAAGTCTTGGACAATATAACCTCCAAAGATAAAAAACTATTATTCCTCGACATCTGAAACGAAGATTGCAGTAGTTGGGCTTTTCCAATTTCGGTCCTGCCGATACTTAGTTATAGTGGCAGATCATGCATTCCAGAAAGGGGGCACGTGGCATTTACGACATTAACTACAGACGCTCTGAATCGTGGTGAAACCCAACCACACCAGTGGGGCATCCTTCCCTCTAAATATCGCATCCTAAGCCTTTCCTGATAGATGTCCTGAAAACGGTCTCCTCGAAAACAGATGTATAAAATGTCCTTTCCGACAAACCAAAAGTGCAACACCTCTGAATTCCCATGCAACGGGTCAGCTTCACGGAACTCAAAAAAAAAAAAAAACCCGAAGGAATTTCAATTAATGAATTCTTGGTCTTTTATTTTAAAAGGGGGAACTTCATACATTTGACAAAAGTAAAACTTGTTATTCAAAAACCTAGCTGTGCTCCATACATTAAATTTTGATGACCCGAATTAAAGTTTTAAAGAGACTACGTTGACATGACTGGAGGCCTGCAGGTTTCTTACCTGTCAATTTGGGTGTCATTATGTACTTCGTGTCACACTTTTACCCACTCTTGGGTTACGTGCTCGGTTCAGAATAGTGCTCCCAAAACCGCTTTAGGCTGTGGACACTCAGCAATGAGAAGCGGTCTGACCATTCTGTTAGAATAATATTGCTATAGCCAAAATTGGAAATATTTTCAATTGGGGCAATTAATTGGAACTACCCGAAAGGAAACTAAAATTTGTCCATTTTCCATCCTTTCTCATTCCTACAAATATCAAATTAAAAGAAAAAATTACAGGAATCATCCAATTAAGGATGGTCTAATTGTGCACAGGGCTTATTTCAGTTAATTACGAGATAACCAGTAAATTACGGTATTAAGAACATAAATATGGCGCATTCTGTATATATAAACACTCTGGGACAATTCTGTGACTTTTCAAAGACTTCAGAAGTTACTTTATAATGAAGAAAATGCAAAGGTTCAATTTGTGAATCTTTCTGTGAACACGCACAGAACAATGTACTGTACACATCCCTTACTATATTTGCAGTTTTTAGCAAATCTCAAAAATATTATACGACACCATAGTGTTTCCAGTTTGATGAGATGGTAATCGATGTATTGAACAGTGAAAAACGAAAAAAAAAATTTTTTTTCCAAAACGTTTCCTTCGTCTTACTTTAACGACTTACAAAAAAACAGTACTGCAATGGGGTTTGTTGCAAAGCAACAGTGATTCATATCTCAATCTGTATCGTGTTCGTGGTTTGTATACAAGTCGCTATAATCCAGAATATTGGGAATATTCCAGAATAGTTTGGTTGGCATAATCATGAACAGTAAAGAAAAACAGTCAGAAGGCCCAGGCCCACGCAAATGTTACACGACTAAGATTTGGCAAAGATTTAATTGTTCGAACAGCTAAAACACAAAAGAAAAGGGAGAGAAAGGTAAAAACGCGCAGCGACTGGTGAGTTCAGCAAGACGCACATGCAGATCACTTGTCAACAGACAAACGATTAGGAAAAAATGAAAGAATCCTGAAGTAATAAAGTGGTCCGATATCTTTTTCTGAGAACCCCGTGTCGCGAAACGTCCCAGCGTGACCCACCCCCTCCAAACTGACGGGAATCAATTTCGACTGTTGGTTTACCACACACCGGCCGGCTTTTCTTGCCAAAGCCACACGCGATTGGTGTTTCTAGCTCCCGTTTTTTTTTCCAGTGCGGCGCGTGCCAAGCTACCGTGCCTCGCTCCTTGCCGGCCGTGGGTCGCGTGGCCAAGAGGGGGCAAAGAGAATCGCGCAAGCCGGGGAGTTTCCTGCTCGAGGAACCGCACAAACCGGAGCCCGCGTGCGTCGACATCATAGTTTATCCAAGAGATTCTCGCTGGTTTTGTCCCGGAGACAAGAGTCAGTGGTCCAGGACAAACTTCGGTGAATTGATGGAAACGTGATTGACAGGCAAACACGGTGCTGTAAAGACGAGCCTGAAAATGAGGAAGACTTTTTCTCAGGGGAAAAAAATTAAGAGGTTTTGTCCAGATGGGAGCGCATGATAATTGTCTGATGTGGCAACAGTTTGCCTTGATCATTCGCGGTGTTTACGAGTTCGCAGAACTCAGGGATATTGCGGTTGCATCTCCAATTAATTACACTTTTCAACCCGCAAACGTCAGCATTTTAGATATTTAGTTAGATATAATACTTATGTGTTCCGTTCAATCATGTATCAAAACAACTTGGCTGCTGTTGGTAAATGCAATTGGTGTTATGTTTACATAGGCCTAATTACGACAAGAAGACCTGAGTTTAAGAATTTTAGTTTAGGACATGTTATCAATAGTGACCAGGTAGTCAGACAGTATAAACTGTATTGAAGCTCCATCATCAACTTCGGAGGGAGACGACATAATGCAACTCATCAGGAACAGATTTAAATCCCAGTCTAAAATCATTATTTTACACATATTCGGATAATTTGAAGTTATCTGCCACCGGTATAAAATTTCATTTCATTTTCCTGAGAGCAAACTTTTTTTGTTGCAATCGGGCATTTAGTGCCCTTCGCTCAGCGTGTATTATAATCGCTATACAGCACCCTGTCGTCAAGTAATGTCATTTTTGTCTCGCTTAGTCACGCATTGTGCGCCGCACTTCAGTTAAAACGAATGCTTTCGAAAACGGTCCCAGGCCGGCGAAAGGTGCCCATCTCCAGCAAAGCGAGGCGAACTAGGCGCGGTCATTGAACGGGGCACGAGACCATTTTTTTTTTAATTTACCGAACACCATGGCGTTTGCTGGTATACTGCGGATTACCCAGAACTGTCCATATCGTTGGGTTCGAAAGTTCTTCCCTCGGAAAATCACGGGTGAACAAGACCAACGTCCTTGGCCTTGATGCCGCCATGCCCATTTAAAGAAGTCTGTAGTCCGCTTATTCAGAGCTAGTTCCAAATTCTTGCACTGAAAACGCTGACAGCAATTTCAACTTATACTTCTGAATTCTATATACACCTTGATTGACATAATTTTACAAAGAGAAATTCTGCATTGTGGCTTGAATAATGCTTTATAACCCTGAACACAGATCCCAAGGGTGGGGAGGATGTTTCCCCTCACCCTTTGTCCCCAGGGATGGACTACGGGATCGTCCAAAGATATTTGTACCGAACACTTGAAGATGTTTTAATACAAATTCAAGTGACTTTAAGTGAACGATTTTTTGCCTTGTTTTGCGACGCACTCTTTCTATTTTCTGTATCCGATTCGTGACTTCGTCCTACACGCAGACGTGCCACTGATTGCCTGCTCTCATTAGACGAACACTAAAGTTGCGCGCTAACTTCCGGTTACTTAGTTCCATATCCGGTTCGTAAGTGTGACGTCACTTCAGTTTAAACCACGCATACTGCACATGCGCTGCACATAGAGTTACATACATTGATCGCCGTTTACATGGTACCATGAAATCGGAAGTTAACGCGCAACTTCAGCGATCGTCAAATGGGAGGCCGTGTCCGAAACGGGCTTCCAGAGCTACGGCTACGTCTATTGTCGACGCGTCTCCACGCATTTCCATTGGAGCGAAGACCTAGACCTAGCTCTAGACAAGAGATTCGGATGCAACCGGAGACTGCAAATCGTGGCGCGTTCGCCTTGGTGACGAAGTCAATTACGAACCGGATAACTCCATTGATCTTCATGATGTGATCAATGTGTGTAACTGTGCGCAGTGGGCGTGGTTTAAACTGAAGTGACGTCACACTTACAAACCAGATAGACATTCAAGTTCCATATCACACTTGTCGAATTTCTTGATGGACGGTAATTACACTCACTTAGGTGCTTTACACGACTTAGGTGCTTTATCATATTCGTTTTACATTAGTGAATGTTTATGACTGCAATGGTAGGATAATTTCATGCATGTGACAAAATATCTGTCGCCACATGAAATTATTCTTACCACTGAACGAATGTGAAACATTGATTTATACAATGACTAGTCCGATGAGATGCCGTAACTGCGGTGGCACTGCACTCACACGCACATTCTTCAGCTTGACGCGCGCGTGCGGTTGGCAAATCACGACACCCTATTGGTCGAATAGGCATGTAACGCGCGCGTACCACCTGTCCATGAGCGTTGTGCCACCGCAGTAATGGCTTCTAATTCTGGTCGTTGGATTACATTATACCTGCATAAATTCTCTTCTGTTACAGGAGAACACATCCGTCCCGCTTGCGTATTTAAGTCCGTCATTTTACTAATTTAACGGATTCGTGTGCAAAACACTATACACCCACTGGTAGTATAGACGGGTTTCCGTCGCGAGATTCTTTTCCTCTTTCTAACTGGGAATGAGATCTATGGCCAGAACCAGTCAAGTGAAATTCTATTCAACCGGTACCGCTGAATAGAACGACAGGTGATCAACGCGATCCACCCATCAGATGACAGGGAGATACGTAGATATTCTAATCAAGACTACACAGAATACGTGTCGATCTGTTCTTGGTAGAAAATGGATGTCTACATTCAACGGCAGTGCTGCTCACGTTTCCGCGTTTATAACGTAATAAGTAAACTTGCCGTTTTCCAATGTTCTGTTCTCTGTAAATAACTGTTTATAAGAGAAAGATTTTCGTTTCTGTTACCAACAAAAAAACTAAATGTTTTTGCCCGTAATTTGGCCCGCTTCACTCGGTGCATTCTAATGAGAGTTAACAATTCGTGTGGCTGTCCATAACTCAGCTTTTTAATGGTAAATTTTGGAAATTGGAACTTCGCCGCCACTCGCCGACAACTTGGCGACTGGAGCGGTGGGTGTCATTTCCGATGCACCAGCCCCAAATTCCCCACACCTACCCTATTGGCGCCATCCCCCGCGTTCGCCCC